GGTTGAAAAATTTAATTAATAAATAATAAATAAACAGGGTTTGCAGAAGAAGCTGAATGACAATCTGAATCCATTTCCAAGAGAAGATAGTGGAATTGGGAAATCGGAGTACCTTTTGGGACATGAGAGTTCCAGACAAATCTCAGCTACATTTGGGCTGTTTGCTCTGCAGAGAGATGGTCAAAAATTTGGAAGAATCTAGATGGCCATCTAGCGGCTAAATGAAACATTACAAACCAGTGTACTTACTGCTGTTTAGAACCGTATTCAACTGACGATTTCCTGGACATCTTTGATGGTGCAATTCAACTCAGCCTAAAGAGAGAGAACATCTTCTCCTTGGTTTCCTATCTCATGGAGAGCCCAAACCATGTGTAGAAACAGAGCCAGGTTTCTTGTTTGCTCAGCCACGATTGTACGGTGGATCAGTGTGTACATTTTCAGTCCACATAAGACTGAGACAGAGGAGGGGTTATAGCTTAATCATTCAAAAGTCTAATTCTCCATTCCAGGTCTAATCTTAGCATTCCTAGTTAAAATCTTAGAATGGATGGAGGCATTGAGGCCATCGGTATGCACGTTTAATGAATATTATTATGATGGTTGGCCCCACAGTCAGCCAGATGTTTAGACTGGATTTGGCATTTTTGTCTACCTATCAAGTCCTTCCCAAGGACCTGGGATAGGCAGATGGGGTTGTTTGATGGGGTTAAAGGTATTGTTGCAGGATGTAAGCTGTTCTTTGCAATTGAATGATGGTGATTTTTGTCAACACCGATGGTTGTTCCAGTGGTGCTCCAGATGTTTTGGGATGGCATCCAAGGCACCTATTACTACTGGTATTATCTTTGCTTTATTTTGCCAGTGTCATTCTATTTCTATTTGCAGCTCTTTGTATTTTGTGATTTTCTCCAGTTCTTTCTATTTTGCTGTCTCCAGATACTGCAATGTCCACTATCCAGACTTTTTTGTCTTTCTTATCAACAATTGTTAAGTCTGGAGTGTTACATGGCAGGTGCTTGTCTGTTTGAA